CGAAGATCTACACCAAGACGGGGGACAAAGGTAGCCGCTGGCGCCGCTCTTCCTGGGGCCGGGGGGCGCGGCGGGGGCGGGCGGGAAACGCCCGGGCTGCGTTTTAGACGAGCGCGATCCCCTTCGCCCGACTTGCTGCGGGCTTACGTGCAATACCCCGCTGCCACAGAGAGGTCTCGCGGTTTACGTTCTTCTGACCAGACGAAGCATTTCATCAGCTGTAAAACTGTTCCGTCGGTAAAAGCTGCATTTCCCCTTAACCATTGCCCAACTGCAAGGCGCCCGTAATTGGCGGACTCTGTTCCCGAATCCAGGTAGAAGTCAGCGATTGTCCAGCGGAGGCCTGCCGGCCGTAACCTTTCGGCCCTTAGTTTGTGGGCCGATTCCTCGTTTTCTCACCGTTTGTCTTTTGTGGGATTTGAAGGGTTTTCCAGCACGTTCACCGGAGAGAGGAGGGCCAAGGACGACCAGATCTTCGATGCTTTGGGAACGCTGGATGAACTGAGCTCGGCTGTAGGGTAATTGCGAGATGGTTCGTTTTGCGTCTTTGTCGCCAAAACATTTCAGATACAGAAGGAAGCAGTTCTAGGAGATGCCACCTTCTATTCCAGCAAGTGTTCCTGATGGCTGCCTGTCAGCGACTTTAGCCAGGGAAAAGGCAGCAGTGTTTAGCTTTGAATTAGAAATGTGGATCTTGCAAAGCAGTCGTAGCATACAAATGCAACGGTGGCTTCTCACAACATGCCTGCTCTATAGAGATGTAGAAAAAGTGTGGCGGTTCCACAGATTTCAGACTGGCTTAAAGTTGTTGCGTGTTACCAGAGGTGGGGGAGGTCACAGCTGCCTTAATCTGGAGACTGAGTCTGTTCTCTTTTGCTGCAGCTTAAGTGCTGAGTTTGGCAGAGAAAGTGGCCACACGTTTGTGGAAGAACTTCACAAGGTGAGAAACAAATTGGCTCTGCTCTGGTTGGTTGCATAGCCCCTCAAAAGTCATCGATGCTATTTGGGCCAAGCTGTTGCTCCTCTTATTCTGGGAGGCACACAAGCAGATTCAGACACGGGGCTGGCTGCCTTCCAGCTGCACTACCTTTCTTGCCCCCAAACATGTTGTTTTGATTTCCGCTCTGTAGGTCCAGTGTATGCTGCAGGATGCCGGCTCTAATGTGGCAACACCCATCTCTTCAGCCAGGGAGTCTCACATAAGTAATTAGGACATCCTTAAGAAGCTGAAGGTTTATAAGGAATGCGCCTTTCAAATGCGTTGCCTTACCATTGGTTTCTGCTGAGAGTTGAAAGCCAGAAAACCTCTCTGGTGGAATAGTTCATCGATTGCATTGCCAGCCCTCTTTTTTTCTTTGGAATTCAAGGCCAGGCATGCAGGGCCCGAGTGAGGCCAGACTGGTTTCTGATTTGGCACCTTGGGGTCGTGCATAGAAGATAAATCAGGGCTCTTCAGTGGGAAAATGTTCTGGGCATGCTCCAAGGCGCTCGAGGCTTTGCCAAGAGCGTTATTCTGCCTTCAGCCGGTGGCCTGGAACAGGAAACCGCCTTCCTCCATGCCCATCTTGCGTGACTGGCCTCCTCTTTCTCCCCTTCAGAGCGCACATCATTCAGTGAGAAGCCCGTGCTGGAGCTGGAAACCTGGATAGACAGATACTCAGATCAGCTTCCACCGCTCACCTCCTTCATTTTACCAGTAGGTTCTTTACATGTGTTTTCATGTTGGGTGCCTTTAATCCTGGAGCTGGGATATAACCGCTGGACTTAGTGCCTCCCCACTGAACTTCCTTTTTTCATTCATTTATCTGGTCTTCCTTTAGTAGTTGGCAGCCCCCGTCCATGCTGCTGTTCAGGGCGGGGACGCTCGAAAGGCTTTAATAAATCCTTTCTCTCTCGGCCTCATTCTCCTCGTGGCACATTGCTCTTGAAGCTTCCATCTTTCTTCCAGAGGAAAAATACCAAAGGGTTACATTAGTTGAATGGAAGTCCTCTAGAAACCCGTAAGAGTTTTTCCCTGCCCGTGATCGCAATTTCACGCCTTTGCATCCTTTGCATTCACGGAAAAAAAGGAGGGGCAGCCGGAGGGCTCTTCTCTGTCCGTGAGCCGCTAAACCCCTGTGCCGAACGATTTGGGACTGGGCTGATAGAAGGCAGACTTTGCATGTCTTGTGCTTGTGTCATTTCAGTCTGGTGGGAAAAGCAGCGCTGCGCTCCATCTCTCCCGAGCCGTGTGTCGCAGAGCTGAGAGGCGGTAAGGGGCTGGCCTGCTCTTCTGTTAGCGAGAACCCGGAGGTGGGCTTTGGAGTAACTCTTCCCATGCGTGGGAAGAATCTGAAAGGCGCCGCAAGAGCCCCTGGCTAGATTTGTGGATTTGGAGTTGTTAATACAGTCCTGGGGGAGTCACGGGAAGTTGTCACCTAAATGGCCTCTGTACAAGCAAAACACGTAAATTAGGCACTTAGGTTTGAGGTAGGGCGGGCACAGAGTTGTTGCAGCAAGGATTCCTGCTCTGGGTGGCCAGTAGGCAAAGTTTTCTTCTGTGAAAACTTCAATTGCCTTGTATATCATAATGTTTGAGCCTTTGTCTCCTTATGCCATTGTAGTGTCGTTCCTTTGGTAAAAATAGGAGAAGTGGATGCAAACGTGGCCAAGTACTTAAACAGGTAACTTGGATTTGTGTGTTTAAACAGGTAAGACAAATGTAGCCAATCATAGCTGCGGTCTAAGAGCAGGGAAGGTCAATTTAGCTTGCAGCCATATGCGGTGCAGACGGTGGAACTTTGCCAGAAGCTTCCCATGGAGAGGCGTACAAAGTGTTGCGAAATCAGATCATCTCATACTGACCTCACCAGAGAGAGGCTGGAATGGGATACTTGGCCTCAAAATGTTTTGCTCCTTTACTCTAGCGCTGTGTTCAAATTCCCAGCCGCTTTAAGGGAGTTATTTGGACAGAAGCGATAACTCCTGAACCTGTACACCCATGGGCCCTTTCTGCTGACCTTGGCAAGGTGATCGTAAAGATCAGGCCTGGCAATTCTCTCTCCTATGCCTAGATGTGACTGCCAGCTCTGGCTGGGGATCTCTCTCCGGTCCTGCAGTCCACAGATGCAGGGTGACACTCTTTTCTCTCCCGCATCCAGGCTAAGCGACTATCTGTTTGTCTTGGCCCGTTTTGCTGCCAAGGAGGAAGGGAAGGAGGAGAAAATCTACATGAGGATGGAGCCCCAAGACTAAGTTCAGCAATGCAAGATGTGGAATGTACAACTTTTGAGCTAGCGAGCAGTGGATAAGATTAACTATAAAATGCAGGCAATTTGAAATGATCGGATCCCTACCTGAAAAACCACCAAAAGCTCAGAGAGATCGAGACCCCTGGCCGCCTCGTTGGAGCCTGGCTTGCGTACAGGAATTCAGAGCAACTGCGATGCCAGAAGAGTGTTTCGTTGCCTCTTGGAACGTGGAAGGGATTGTTGGCAGAAAGCTTAGTTCAGGCCCACTGGCTCCGGTTAGCATAGTGCTGCTTGCCCGTTTCCTTTGATTAAAACTAGAGTGGATCTGGGTTTCTTCCCTCAGCCAAGTCCGTCAATACATCCTATGCTGCCAATCATCTTGAAAAGTGCAGCATTTGGGAGACAGGCGCTCTCAGCAAACGGTCCAGGATCCAGCCTGCGGTAAGCTCTGTCACAAACACGCGGCTTCTGTTTTCTCCCAGTCATACATTTTTAAAAAGAAACAAAAGTGACCACAGTCAACCAGATTTTCAACTTTATTTCCTGTATTCCTGAATTTCCAGCATGAAGAATGTGGCGTAACTAAAAAATATTAAGTATAGAAGGGCAAAATAATTTATTAATCTGCTATGGCAAAAGTTTCTCCTCCTATCTCCGAAAACACATGCAAGACAGTGCTGGGGAGAGAATAAAACCAACTGGTTCTGAGGCTCCTACTTAAGGAACGCCAGGCGAAGCCAACTCTCACTACCAGAGCGAGAACACAGCCAGTGTGGGGTCTGTGTACTGCAGTGCCACAGCTGACACGCTGAAGGCTGTGAAACCCATCATGCAGCCCGCTGCCAGACATGGCGGGGCCGGCAACTCCCAGGATTGCAAGCCAGTGGCTGGAGGGCACTGGGAGGTGGGGAGGCTGCACGACCTTCTCCAAAAGGCACAAGGGCAATTTGGAGCAATTCTCTGGAAGGCCTGCAGCAGCTGCCACAGCGCAACAGCTCATAATGGGGTTGGGGGGCATTTCAGAGTAGTAGCAATATTCTTAAATTATAAAGCATTAATATTGGGCTTAATAAAAGTAACTTTCTCAAAGTATCTTGTGCTGTTTAGTTTGTTACAAACTAGCTCTTCCTTCATATTTCACATTTGTGCAAAAGAGTGACACGCTCAAGATTTGTAATGCATATTCCTAAAATAAGCAGATTCACACAAACACTGCAGCTACTTGGGACCCAGGAAACTTCTCAAGTGGACCCTATTTAGGCCCTGGATGTCCTGAGCAGAGACCCCTGTGGAAAGCTACTGTTAATATAGCTCGGACAGGAGTGGGAGATGCTCTCCTGTGGACTAATTCATCCAATTTATTGTAATGGGTAGAAAAATAGCAGTGCCAGGCAGCCTTTCTTAATCAGTCTGTTGTGTTTGTTCAGAGCACTCCATCTAGCATGCCCGCACACGCGCAACTCTTCCAGAGAAGACCAGTCGAAGTGCACCCAGATTCCACAGACCTCTGAAGGCCCCACATTCTCCAGAGTCATTCCTTGGGGTTTGGGAGATCGCAAGAAGAGGACAGAACAACTTGCACTGGAGCAGCTGAGACAGTTGGTGCAAATACAACCTTCAGTCTAGACCCATCTGCAACTAGTACTCAAGTGTTTCCTTGAACAAGCAGCCGAGCTAAACTTCAGCATAAGAGTCCCTGAGAGAACTGACACGGGACTGCCCTGCTCTACACAGGAGGGTCACCTGCACGTCTGCAGGCATGCTGGTTCTTGGGGCTTGAAGAAGAAGAGGGATGCTGCTGACCACCACCTCCCTGTCAACCAAAGTGCTCCTGAGCTCCTGTTCCAGTCCTTTCAACATGGAGGATTGTCAAAGGGATCCTGTATTCGTTCTGGGAATCCTACGTGCGCCCAAAGGAGAGCACCCAAGCAGTCTCTCTTGGTTCACGTTAAGAGACGCCCTGCCCTGTGTCCTGGCCCCAGCATGTCATGGGTCACCGACAGATGACTGGTGGATTCCAGTCCCACAACTAGAAAGGTGGAGTCTGCCTGCAAAAGGAGAAACCTCTGCAAGCTGAAAAAGTTACCTGTTCCTCCTGTAGAGAGGACCCTGGGGCATTTGCGGAAAAGCACGCATTGCCCCGATTTAAAAACAAAAAACAAAAACTAGTTTGGCCAGCAGTTTAATATAACAAAACTGGGCTAAACAAGGACTCCCTCTCTCTCGGGTCAAGAGGTAAAACCAGTGTTGTGTTGCTTTATGGCATCAGTGAGGAAAAGGCGTTCTGGTTGTCGAAACAAGTCCAACCAAAGTCTCTCATTTCCTCTGAGTAGCCTGGGCCTTGTGCTTTTCCAAAGCAGACGCAGCAGACACAACTCGCCCCCACGTGGCGTCTTACAACAGCGTGCTGGAAGAGAACCTGCTCAGGCCAGGTTGCAAAGTTGGGCCAGGACAGGGGAGGAGCAATACGAAGGAAGAGACCAAGATGACAGGAACTGGACAGAGGTGGCTCACCCCCTCTGCAGCGGTCTGCGTGGCTCTTAAAACAAGGGAGTCCTGCCCAGCCCTCCACGCGGCACAACCTCCAGTGACCCCCCATCCCGCAATGGGTAACTTCACAAGGTTTGCACGCAATGCTACTTTAATGGCAGGCCAGCTGCGGTCTCAGAGGAGTTAAGCAGTGCCGAAAGGTGCCCTTTTTCTACCTGGGCACAGCACTGGAATTCCAACGGCTCCAGGCCCGCCTTGTTCGCCGAGGCTCCAGGAGGGCGCTGCCTGTCTGGCCAGCTGGCCCCGGGCCCTTCTCTCCTGCCAGCCCTCCGAAGGCCCTGGGCTACGACAGCTCAAAGCCCGTGTTCATGCTGATGGCATAGCGCAGCTTCTCCCGCAGGACACTCTTCTTGCTATAGTTGGGCAGCTTCAGGAGATTGAAGCAGGTGGAGGACGTGGGCAGGCGTCCCCCTGGCTCCTTCTTCCGGATGGTGAAGAATCCCCGCAGAACGCTGCCGAGGGTGTCCCCCGTGTCCTGAGAGAGCGGAGCGATGTCCCCAGTCAAAGTTGGTGGGACTGTGGGCCCTTCTGAGCCCAAATCCCACAAGCAGACTGCAACATGGCATGCCAGCCAGGCTTCCCCACCGCTCCTGCACCTGTTTCCTCTACGAGATTCCAGGCCTGCCAGCGGCGTGTCCTCCCACAGGCCCAAGGCTGGCCAGGTGCTCTGGGTGTGCTCCCATGCAACACCAGGTTGTTGCATTTTTGCTACGAACCAGAGCACCGGCCCGGGAGGCAGCGTCCCTGCCCCACCACAAGCCACACACCTGGTCGTCCGACACTTCCACGCACCGGATGGAGAAGGGAGGCTTGAGGTAGACAAAGCCCAGGAGGGGTGGCCGGGAGCAACTGGTAACGAACTGAGAGGTGAGAGAGAAATGAAGACGGGAAATAGAAGACAAGGGGCAGAGGGAAGCGCCCAGCCACCACCCTGAGGCCGAAGGGGCTTTGCCAAAGGGCCTGTGGCTGCATCTGGATCTGGGATGCAGCACTGTAGTTGGGGGGGGGTTGCCCCACAGAGTCCCCACCGGGGGTAAGATTGCAGCTCTTTGCGCAGTTCCCTCGGCCTTTATTAAAACACGGCACCCAGGATCTGAATTCTTCCTGCTCAGTGCACATGGGCACCCAGGCACACACCCATGCAATGAGGCTGCATTCACCTTGAGAAACATGGCTCTTTCCTCGGGGCTGAAATCATTGGCAAGGATGTCCCACAGCCAAATGATGACCCTGTGGCTGCCGTGAAACCCCCCATAATAGACGGTGTGTTTCCTAGAAGACAATAGAGAGAGAACCCAAATACGGCAGTTGTTGCCAGGTCATCAGAAGACCCTCAGTCCCTTCCTTTCTGTTCCTTCTTGAAAGTGTCAGAGACGCCTTTTAAAACCCTCCTCCCCAGGTCCCCTGCTGGGACTGGACACGACCCAATGGCTTCCCAATATGGTCCTCATGCTGATCTTGGCCTGCCTCAGAAGACGATGCTTTCAGGCTAAGAAAATCAGGCAGACAGGCCTTTTCCCGCCCCAAACATGGAACTTCTTAACTCTTTCATGCCCCCCTTAAGAAAAGAAGGCGCCCCCTTAAACTGTTCTCTTGTGTGGCCTTATTTTCCCAAATGCTTTATAGCATGACCGGATCTCTTTGTACCCGTGAGTCTCCCAGATTTTCAAATCTCTCAGCCTTCTCCCAAACTTCATTTTGCAAAGCCATTAGCCTTTATGCTCTTAATCCTCACTTCAAACAAGCTTAAGAGTACTCCTACAGTGTTGGCCTGCAAAGACCTCTGGAAACACAAGGGACCACAATGGACCAGGAGTCAATGCTTTCACTGCAGACCCACCCTGGCCCCCGCCTTACTTCAAGTCCTCGAGGTCGATCTCGGCATTGTCGCCAGATATCAATCGCTGCAGCTCGGGTGCAGAGAAGACGCGGATCCACTCGGGTTTGATTATGGATCGGAATCCGCTGATGAAGGCAGCCGTCTGGCTCTTGATCTGGGTGTGCATGCGGAAGTGGGCCATCAGGTGGATGTAGCTGATCCTGAGCAGAGAGAGGAAGCAGAACCAGAAGACCCCATGGGAAAAAAACAAGGGCTACCTTAGAAAGATTCATTGGGCAAAACTGGCAGAAAGCTGATTGCTGAGATATAAAACAGTGTTTCTCTACCTTGGCCGCTTGAAGATGTGGACTTCAACTCCCAGAATTCCCCAGCCAGCCATGCTGACTGAGGAATTCCGGGAGTTGGAGTCCACATATCTTCAAGCGGCCAAGGTTGAGAAACGCTGATATAAAAGATATCTTCAGCCTCAGATCCCATCTCCCCAGTAGGCCACTTCCGAAGCCAAGGACCACTTCCAAAGCAATTTGCAGTATGGAGCAATGAGATCAAGTCTTTGGGGATGAAGGTTAAAGCAAATTGTCCCTGGGCTGAAATCCTCAGGTGGGACAAAACCCAGAAAATCCATCTCACTGGGAATTTTAGTTTATTTGTGCTGTGTTTCATTCCAGGTTACAAAGAAGACTTGGGTTAGGTTTTCACTGTTAGCCGTAAAAAGCTCCCGTTTTCAAACTCTACCCTCTTGATGTGATGGGTTATGCAAATGCTAGTTTTCTAATCCTTTTTTTTACTCTGAATGCCACTTCGCCACATGGGGTATACTTCCAGCATGTCTGTGATGAATTAAAATCACATGTCCAGACACATTCTGCAGCCAAGCGAGTGACCAGAACATGCTGGGCTTTGGGGCCAGCAAAATCAGACTTACTTGTTTTCATTGGTAACAGGGATAGTCTTTCCTCCTGGAACAAGTTCGTGGCACACAAGCTAGGAGAGCAAAAATTGGAGCGGAGGAAAAAGAAGGAAAGAAGTTAGCTCTTACTGCAGAAAAGCGGGGGTGGGGGACGAGAAAGTAGCCTTTAACCTTTGAAAAGCAGGGAGCCGTCCCTACCTGGCCCATCACATCTTCATCGTAAGAGAGGGTTAGGCCCAAGTCACTGGTATCTCCTTCATAGCGCTGTGAAAGGAAGAGAAAGCAGCTAAAGAATAGCAGAAAATGGTCCACCAGAACTTCCCTGACATGCAGGCTGTTTTAGGCTCAAACATCCAGAAACCCAGCCCCAGAGAAAGACCAATTCTGCTGCTTACACAAACCCTAAGCCCAGCTGAATACCCCCTGCGTGGCACTCGCTGTGCTCCTGTCATACGTGATGAGGGACAAGGGGCTTCGCTAGGTAAAACCTGCCCTCTGCAGCCTCTCCCACTCCAGCAGAAGCTGCACCAGGTAAGCTAAGCCAAAAGAATTGGGACTGAACCTTGATGGAGGTCAGATTCTTATAGAACTCTGAATCCAGCGAGGGAAGTTCATCCACCGAGCTGTAAAAGATGCTGTGATGGTGCCCGAGCAACTGGCTCAGGAAGAAAGATGCAAACGGAACATCCACCACGATTCCCTAGGAGTTGGGAGAAAGGAAGGGTTTAGGGAGAACCGCACAGTGGCCAGCATCTGCCCCCCAGGCAATCTGGGTGCCCATGGAAGGGGCATCCTGCTCCTTGCACCAGCCCCATCCTCCCCTATCTGGTTGATGTTAATAGCGCTACAGCAGCGATCCAGCGTGGTGTGAAACCTGTCCTACCTCATAAACCGCTTTTCCAAGCATCTTCCCGACAAACTCAAAGAGCTGCAGGTAGTTCTCGTGGATGTAAGAAGTTGGGGACGGATACAGCCTCTCATCCCCACTGGTGGTCTGTGCCAAAACAGAGCAGGAGATGAGAAACTGAACCCAGGGCCCCCCCAGGTCTCCGCCAAATTCTGGCCTACGGAATTGGTACCTTGAAGAGGTTGAGCGCTGGGTCAAAGACCTTCTTGATGATTTCCTCCAAGAACTCTTTGAAGACGCCGTCCTGGTCAATGCCAGCTTCATCCATGCCCAGGTCGTTCACAAACTTCACCCGGATGACGCCCTTCATGGCGTTCTGAGAGAGCTGGCGCAGCTGCTCGTACCCATCCTGGGGGAGTCGAGATGGTCACTGGGATCAGGGGAGGAAGGGGAAGCTCCAGCTCTGAAGCGCTAGAGATGCGCCCACCAGCCCCTCTCACCTCCAGCATGCGTGACCGGCGGATCGTGATGTGGGTGACATGAGGTGATGCAGAGCTGGTCTCTACCAGTCCCAGCTGCTCTTTTTCTTTGGTTACCATATTCCGGAAGAGAAGAACCCGCTACATTTCGTGGAAAAGAATGCAGTTTAGCCCTGCTGGGTTTGCCAAGTTGAAATAACACGCAAAGCCATCGCAAGGCTGGGGTGGAGCTGGTGTGGGGCTTTAGGCTTTTTGCCTCGCAATCCGTTAAATTTGAGGCTAGCCCTCTGGGATGGAGGGTGGCCACGCCTGCTTCAAGGCCAGAGCACTTCCCGCCCAGTCACCCCTGGCCTGCCACCTCCTGCAGCTTCTCACCGCTCGACCCCCTGCCCCAGGCTCAGTTTCCACTCACATTTTTGTGGGGGACGACATGGGGAATGTACTGCAGGACCAGCTGGGCGCGTTTCCGATCTTTGTCGAGCTCCTGGAAGAGCAAGCTGGGCTTGAGGTCCCTAAACAACACAACACACACAGAGACACAGGCATGCACACAACACACAGAAATATCAGCAGGAGGCTCAGAGACGCGTGTGGCCTTCAGAAAGCACCAGGCCACCTTGGCTTAAGCACCACCAGATGAGCGAAGGAGGAAAGAGGATGGCTCTTACTTGCGTAGCCAGTGGTCTTCTGGAGCAAAACGCCGCCGGCAGTCTCTTTCGTAGAGGACCATCAGCCAGCTGTGAACCGAATGGAAAAGCTCCAGGGTTTCTCCCTTGGCGTTCTCTGCATCCGAGAGAAAGGCAGCCTCTGAGAAGACTCCCCCTCCCTCTCCTCAAAGCGCGATGCCTCCACCGTCAACACCAAGTAAAGAGAGGAGGGGGAAGAGGGCAGCTGCCCCTCAAGCCCTGAAGGGACTTACCCAAAATCCCATCCCAGATCATCTTAAAGACAAAGGAGTTCAGGAAAGAGGAGATAGTCACCAGCTCTTCCAGCTTGAAGGAGATCTGCTCTTCGTAGACTTCAATGTCGTCGAGTATTCTGGGGTGGGTGGGGGGAGAAAAAGTTTTCCTTTTTATTTGCATTGGGGGAGGGGGGAGGCTAGGCCTCAGTTCCTCAATACCCTACATGCTTTCCTTCAACACCTGGTGGGATATCAGTTGCCAGAAGGGAAGACCATCAGGGCCAAAGAAAATGGCCGCCCCAGCCTGTCACTCCCTGGTATCTCTCTCTCTCTCTCTCTCTGCCAGCAGGCCACAGCTTTCAAAGCTGGCTGAAAAAGGGAGGCCCTCTAAGTCTGGCTGCAGAACCCCAGCTTCTGAGCAGCTCCTGGAACCCAGAGAATGCTCACCACCCTTCTTCTCCAACCACCTACGTGATCAGATGACGTGAGCAATCACAGAAGAGCATCAGCATTGCCAGCAGCCGCTTGGATTCCTCAGTGTTGTTATTCAAGCACTCAAGGAAGACTTTTAGCCCGCCCTGGGGGCCCAGCTCACAGATGAGTGCCCAGAGCTTAGGCAGAAGATCGTCCAGGTAAGTGAGGCCTAGGAAGGGAGAAGAGCAAAGAGCAAGAAAGGAGGGAAGAGCTTTCCTCCGGGTCATCTGGCCCTCTCGTTCTGCCCAGCGTCTGGTAGCTGGGTAGAAAAGTGATTATTCAAACATGCCCTAATTTTTGGAAGAGCCACCTTCCTGCTTCAATAAATCACAAAGGCACGAGCTGTCCACGCACACGGCCACAGCAATGCCAGGGCAGTCTTAACAGGGGTGGCAGCTTCGATCAGTTTTGCTTCACCAGACAGCCTTCCGGGCACCTAAAACCCTCCCCAGGCGAACACCCAAAACCAACCTGTGAGGATCTGCAACCGAATCTGCGTTAGGGTTGTTAGCGTCATCTGGTACAAGACGCAGATGCTGCACACCTTCTGCACCTCTGCCGAATCCACCCTCTTGCCACCGATGGGCTTCAGGATGTTGCGAACTGAGGCTGATTTCTGGAAGGCGCGCCTGAAGAGACCTGGCGGGGGACAGAGATGCGGCAAAGGTGGAACAGATCCTGGGAAGAGCTTGAGGGAAGATGCTCCGGGCGGCAGCCTCTTTCCCAAAGGCCAGAGGCAACGAAGCTTCCCCAAGAGTGAATCTGACCAGCTGCTGCTTACAGATCCGTAGCTTGCCCCAACCCAAGAAGAGAGCTGGCCCGTCACCTGAGAAAGGCTGGGACCCCGCAAAGAGGAAGGGGGTCAGGGCAGTGTTCCTCAACCTCGGTGACTTTAAGATGTGTGGACTTCAATTCCCAGAATTCCAGAATGATGGCTGGGGAATTCTGGGAGTTGAAGTCCACACGTCTTAAGGTCGCCGAGGTTGAGAATCACTGGGTCAGGGGAACCTCCACACGGGGTTCCCTTTACATCAGACTGCGTCACTACGCCACAGGGGAGTGCTGGGGGGGCTACGTCACTACTTACTCTTTACAGGCAAGCTGTTCTGCGGGGAGGTTGCTGGCGGGGGCAGGCGAGCAGCTTCTTGGCTCTCCAGCAGCTTTTTGCTGAGGACGTCGCTGAAGAGGATCCGGATCATGTGAGCGCCCCAGAGGTGCTGAAGCTGCTTGGTGAGCAAGGGCATCGACTCATTCAAGCTGGAAGGAGAGAGGCAAGGAGGAGCGAGGGAACACTTGTGGCTGGAAATCAAGCGGGGCAAGCCGAGCACCTCCTACACCTTTCAGATTCACAAAACAGGGTGGGATGTGAAGACACAACGTACCAGCGAACGTATTTCAAATGACAGAAAACCTACAACCCCAAGGATATATTAATGGCTCCAGAGGAAAACCCAACACCAGAAAAGCGCTTTTAAGGTCCTTGAACCACAGCCGGCCCTCAACAGCACTGAGGGATCTCAGGTCAAAATGCGGCCATAGCAGAAAGGCCACCTCGGCTACGCTGGCCTCCCATGGTTGCTGAGAGACAACAAGCAACTTTCTTCTCTTTCTCACAGGGGGAAGAATGCCGGTCTGCATCTCAAGCAATACAGAGGAGCGCTGAAGACTGACAAGAATCAGGAGTCTGAACAACGGTTCTCCGGCTGGAGCGTTATTTAGCTTGTTCCCGAGATTCTCTGGAGATCTTCAGCATGGAAGCCACGACTTCCTGCATGCAAGGAACAAGGTGTGGTCCCCCCTCCCAGGTCACGTTAGTGGTGCTTACCCATAATCCACTGTCTGGGAGAACCAACCAAGGACGGGGTGCCAATGGGTCAGGTTGGACTTTTTTTGCGAGACGTACTTTTGGCAGTAGCAGAGCATTTGGGTGAGGACGCTCACGAAGTGTGCCGTCTCTTCCTGCAGCACCTTGTCGTTCAGTGACCCCAAGTAGACAAGGTTGCCTGGAAAATAGTGGCAGCCTTCAAATCAGATATGGGGCAATGGGGGAGGACAGAGCTCTGCCCCAATTACCATCCCTGGCCCCTAGATCCCCAAATTCAGGGACCTGCAACGACTGAACTGGCAGAAGGGAGAGTCTTCCATTCGTTTTAACCCAACTGCACGGATGTCGTTTGTGCAGAAGGCAGTGACTGAGTATCACAAATATGGCGCACGTTATGGCTGCGAAGGGGTATTTGTACACAGCTGCTGCTTGGATTTTAGGAGGGGAGAGAAAGCTCTCTTTTGAGGGCAGCCTGGTCTCCCTTTCTGGAATTCCTAGAGTCCCCTTGCTCCCAAACCCTCTCCCTACTCTGTGGGGCACTGTGCAAATTCTGAAGTCTGCCATCCGGGTCGCTTGTTCCTGGATCTTACCCAGAAGGCAGAGCGTATGGCTTCCTTCCAGACACACGCAGACATCTCGACATTGTTCTTCCCGGCTCAAGAACAACATGAACCTGCGCAGGAGGTCATGGGATTCCATCACTGCCAGGCGCTGAAAAGAAGGCAGACTTTCACCCGAGGAGCCTCACAGGAGATTTACTGAGCAAGCTTCGCTCCCCAGTTCTTTTAGAATTAAAGTCCACAATGTTTGTTTTGCTCCGGCCAGGAAAGGAAAACAACCACGTCCTTGAATTCAGTGACAAATTGGCTTACAGTAAGGAGAGTACCAGGTTTTCTCTGCAGCAGTGTCCAAGCAACTAACCCCTTTTCTCCCAACCCCCATTCTTAGCGCCTCCTGAAAAACACCCAGCCTTGATTAACAGAGGTAATGTTAACACCCTGATTATCCATACAGCAAAAAGGAGATGGCTTGAACAACTGAACCCCCCCCACACCAATCATATTCCAGCCCCTGCTGGAATAAAGCACATGAACCCGGGTCGCTCTGTTGAGGATGCAAGACAACCAAAAGCTTTGTGGAATACTAGAAAGAGGACGCTTCAAACAGATTGCCTCCCCTTTTCCTGCCTCGACAGGAACTGCCTACCTCTGGTGTAAGTGTTGCAAGATGGGTCGTGATCGCTGGCACGGACATGATGTGGATCAAGAAGGATCGCAACAGATTGTCAGAAAACTGAGCTGCAACCACCGGGCTGGGGAGAGAAAAATAATGGAAGGATTTTGGGAACCTCAGAGCGCTACAACGGGTCTCCTTAAAGGCTTCCTGAACCAGAGTTGTAGCTTCAACGATTAGTCTTACCGCAGCGCAAGAGAAAAGGCCGCTGTTAAGGTGCCTTTGGAAAAGGAAGGTTGAGATCTTGCCAAACCATTTGTCAGCAAAATCTGAAAAAGATGTTGGAAGCCCGTTTAAGAGTCAAGAAGATGCACCAAGGGGGTGGGGGAGGGGAGGGGAGGGGGCACAATGGCATCTTTCCTAAAGGGATGGTGCTGCCCTGAGAGATTGCCCCAGGATCAGGGACATGCATGCCCATGCTGGGGACAGCTGCTTCCAGGAGCCCAGGGCAAAGCATGCTTTGATAATAACAGCACTGGCCAGTCTTGCCAACAGGTCTCAAAAGAGATGGTGTTAACGATGTACACAAGACATACATCTCTCATGGATCAAACAAGTGTGAAAGGGGCAAGACAGTCTGCTGGCCTCTGAGGCAGCTTGCCAGAGAGGCGAGGAGCTAAGAACAGACCTGCTCCAAAAGGAGCCATATGGAGATTTGTAGGATTCTTACCCTGCAAGGGCTCCACCGGTCTTTAAAAACATGGCTGCACTCCTAGGCCTGGGGTTTGGTAAGCCCCAGCAGGCTTTGTGTAAGGAAACGCACAAGTTCTTTTCTTCTTTATTTGTTTCCCCCCCCGCTTTTTTTTTTAGTTATTGACGCCTCCCAGAGTCATTTGGGGGTTGTGCGGCTTTCTAAATGAATGAATGACTGAAAGAATGACTGAAAGAATGAATAAATCACAGCTAGGTGCTACCGACAGAAATGGGCAGATAGTTTTCTCATCTATTTCCATCTTTTTCCAGGGAGCAGATTCAAATGCAGCAACTTACAGCAATGACAACCAACAAACCTGGAGCACAGAGTAAAATCCTTTCTGGTTGAGATGTCCCATGATATTTGCACAGATGTGACTCATGGCATGGCGCAGGGCTTCTCCTGCAAAAGGCCCCACAGAAGGACTCAGCTATCAACTATTCCCTTCATGGCAGGGCAACATGGCCTCGCATCATTCCCCCACATCATTCCCCATTAAGTGCATTTTGGATTGTGGCCTCAAAGGGCAAGGACTGAAAAAGCTGTGGGGGACTCAGCTGCAGCAGCTAGAACAAACTGATTGTTGGGGTCTACTTGGATTTTTTCCTCTAGGACTTGTATTTTGATGAACATTTTAAGAGAGATGATTAGGCTAAATGTTTTTAAAAATATCTTTTAAGAGAATTCAGCCCATCAAAGGTCAAACATTATGCAAAGTGAGCCATCGATATGAAAGCACCAAGCATAAGCAAAAAGGCCTTAGCTTAACCATCACGCTCAGAGAAAAGATTTGTGGCTCAAATGCTGCATAATTTATATAAGGAAAAGATGCCAAACAGCCACTCTCTGCAGGAAATCACCCCTGGCAGTGCCAACATGACAAAACCATTAGACAAGAAGAAATGCCCGGGATTTTTTTGGCAAATGAAGAAGCATCTAAAGGCAGAACTCTGCCAACGCACCTTTTCCCTGCAGGATTTTCCACGTGGAGGTGTCCGTAAAAGTCACCAGCATTGTGAGGTGTAAATTTACCAGTTTTGAATCTTGCAAGATGTCTGGCTGGAAGAATGAACCACCAGAAAGTTGAAAAGGAGGCATACTGCAAAGCTACAGAGCAGCAAAAACAAAAACAACCCCCCCCTAAAAAACTGCACCACGGAAATGGGATCAGTCCATACCTTGAGCAGCTTCAGGAATTCACAGCAAACCCACAGCACGTCCTTAACTTGCTGGATCCATAAGAGGGTGAGCTCCTTCGAGAGCGCAAGAGACACGTACCACGCCTGCAGAACGAAAGGGCCACAAGAGTGATTTGGCCAGCGGGGAAAAGCCTCCCTCCTTTCACCGGATTGAGAGGTCAGAGTGCAAAATGTTGCAGTCCTGTAATTCAGAGGAACTTTCTCATTTGCGAAGCTGCTGCTACTAGGGTGAGACAAAGAAACGCCTCAGAATACCCACAAGTAGGTCTCAGGAAAGGCTGTATCTGTGGGTTACGCCACTGAAATAATTCCTCGCTTATCTTTTGGCAAAATAAGCAGCCAAACGCTCTCGCGGTTTCGCTCTCGTCTCAAGAAAAGCGAACCTAAGTACCTTAGGGTCGTTCTCAGCATCCATGCTGCTGAGGATGCAGCGGCACAACTTTTCAAACCTCTGCAGAGAGAAAAAGAGCAAGAAATGGGTCCCAGATGGGATGACAACAGCCTCTACCAAACTGCCAGCACCCACAATTAATTCGGATTCCCCAGAAGTTAAACTTCTGCGGATGCTGATCCGAAGATGCCTCTGACTGGAAAGCCAGGAACCCAGGCCGCCCTCTAAAGACAGCAGATCTGCTTTGTGTCAGTTGCTTTCTCCAATCGCTCATTAGAGCACAGGAACTGAATGCTTCTTCAAACTGGAGGCAGCAGATCTCTCTTTGAGCAGATGCTGGGAATTCAGGGGCAACCCGGGTTTAAGTTGGGAAAAGCCACTTCAGGTCAGGCATTCTCTGCCTCCTGGACTCTCTGACATCCCACTGGCCCCAGTGACTGAGGCGAAGGAGAGTGTCCCTATGTCTGGAGACGCCTCAGGCGCTTAAACCCATGGAACGCTTCTGATGCTGCTGCTTCCCTCCCTTGCCCAAGTGCAACAGCGAGAGGCCCCTCTGTTCCAGGCCTGGGAGACCAAGGGACCGACCCCCCCCAGATCCCCCCCCCCCGTAAACACCGAGAAGAGCCAGTCTCCGCGGCAGAGGCGCTGTACCTCTTTGTCCTGAGGGAGTCTGAAAACAAAGAGCAGCTTTTGGGAGATTCTAAACAGCGGAAGGGCCGTCTTCTTGGCGGGACCGCTTGTCTCAAAGAAGGTATCCACTTCGTTTCTGGGCAGGGGAGGAGAAGAAACACGGAAGTCCCAGCAAGAGGCGCCCGCAGTGCAGCAGGCCAGGCACTGAATTTGGATACGGAAACCCAGGAAGCTGCGTGGGGGCTCAGGCGCTCCCTCTCAGCTCAGACTACCTCCCCGGCTTCTCGTTCTGGGACTGGAGGATCTCACGGACGGCAAGGGACAATTCTTCCGTGCGCACCCCTCCCTCTGGCCCAGATACCAGCCGTGGGCAAAGAGTTCCAGCCCATCCATTGTACCCACAGCTGCACGCACCTGATTTCCCGCTGCAGCTGGCAGCGGCACAGAAACCTTCGGACGAGGGCTTGGATCTGCACGGCAGCGTGCTCACGCTCCTTCAGCTCCCGGCGCTCCTCCCGGGCCTGCCGGGCCTTGTCCAGGAACTCGGCCTTGGATGACTGGGCTGCGCTGAACATCTTGGCCTCTGCGGACAAAAGTCAAGGAAGGGGAGGGCTGAAGCAGGAGCGCCGAGACCTTTGCCCGCGGCTTCGAGAAAGGAATCGGAACGTCCCCCGCTTGAGCCGGTTGGCACAAGCCGGCCTGTTCTGCTCCTGACAAGGCACAAGCGGCCCTTTTCGTCTGCAAACTCCAGCCCACCCCCAATCCGCGCAACTTATCCCGCAGAGACGTGGCGACCACATCGCCGCGTCCGGTGAGGCGCTCCGAGCGGGTGGGCAGCGGCCTGAGAGATGGAACTGGCTTAAGGACGCAGACCAGCCACCTTCGCCGCTCCGCTGACGCGGGGGCGGGGGGGAGGCGACCTGCTCGGAAACGCCCGACGGAAGACGCCGGCGCCGGGCTCACCCCACGGGGTGTCTTCTGCAGAGCGCCCGGGGATCACCCGTAGACGAACATGGCTCAGGCTCGCCCTGGACCGCAGCTTCTCCTCGCCCTCGCGGGGCTCATCCGGGCGGCTTCGGATCCGCCTCTCAACGGCTTCCCGGCGCTGCTCTCCTCCGCGCCAGGCTGCAAAGGGGGCGGCGGAGGG